TGGAGTGATTCCCCTGGAGAAACGCAACCATCCAGCGTGATGTATGTTCAGATCTCCTACAACGACCGTGCCTGTCGCAAGATTCGAATGCGCCGCCCATTCGGCACTGAACGCATTGACGTTTGCAATTTCGCCGTAGTGGGGTGGGCTATGCCAACAAGCAAGCTGGACAGGACCTGGCGACGAATGATGTAAGAACCAGATGATCTCAGCAGAGGAAGAGCGAGCGAGAGGAGAGAAGAGACTGGGAAAAGTATCTTGCACAAAAGCAAAAACGCCAGCACCAGTCTTGTTGCGATCGCACTGTGTAATGCAAAAGCGATGGAATGCTGCAAGCGCTGTCCAGTTTCGTCTCATTCAACGAGAACGGCAGGAATAAACGGCAACAATGCAATGCGACCTTCCAGCTCTGCCTTAGAGCTAAGAAACTACCAATATTTACAGGAAGTATGGTGAGGCTTTGTTAAACGAGTGACGGATCGGATCCGGATTCTCGCGGATCCCCGTCTCGAAGCAAATTGCGTGAGGAAGACTCTGATTTTCGAGCGAAATAGCTCGTCGATAAAACGCTGCGAGAAATCGACGCGAGAGAGAGGGGCAGAAGGAGGCAGGACAAAGGACGAGGGAGAAGGACGAGGAGGAGGACTGCCTGCCAGCGAACTTGGAAGATTACACGGCTCGCGACTGGAGGGTCGATATTCTACGGCAGAAGGACCTTTCAATCGATTCCGGCGTATTTCATGCGAACCAGCGGATTTTGGACCACGCTGGCGGAGACGAGAAGATGCCGCGAAGCCCGGGGACCGCTCACGATCCGCATAGCGGAGGGCGTGGGTAGAGGAGGAGAGAGGATGGTGAAACAAGTAGGCAGCCCCCCAACACCCCTACTTCAGGGAAAGATTAGGACAAGGAGACAAAAACGCTCCCTCGAAATCAGTATCGGACTGCTGAAAGGCTTTCACTCCGCCAATCTGCACAGAACGGTTCTTAAAGTCGGCCTCGACAGCCTTTCCGGGCGCAGCTGCCTTCAGAGGCTCGCGCGCTCGGCCGAGGGCCCAATCGCGATGCCTGTTGAACTTGGTCTTGGCGGCCCGGGCACGAATCGAACCAGATGAGGTAGCCAAGCTTATATATTCCGCGACTCGTCAAGAACTCGACGGAAGAGGTCATTGAAACAGTCTGGGCGTTCTGGGGTCCCTGCGTGAAATGGCCAATAGAGTACTGAGGTAACCATCGCAAATTTCAGCATGTACGCCTCGATCTCACGGACGCGATCTTGTAAAGAAGTCGTCGCAGCGAACCCCAAAAACGCCACCTGCCGATTAGCCGGGTCGATCGAGTTACTCATCGGAGTCTGCTGCTTGCTCCAGCCTCCACTGGACGACGGACGCGATTCAAGAGCTGTAAGACGACCACGAACCTCTTCCATTTCGTTTTTGAGGGGGTCGACAGCCTCTGAAATTGCAACTTTTATCACTGCCGAAATCCGACTGTGCAAAGAGTTGATGTCGTCCCTCGTCCCCGTCTCAGCCTTCAATTTCATGATAGCCATGATAAATGTGAGTTTCTCATCCATAGAAGCGGAAGCAGGAGGAAGAATAACTGCTGGATTCGCAGCCGGTTGCACCACGTGCGCTGCCGCATGCGCCGGGGGGACAAGACCCGCGCCCGGGCATGCACTTGGGGCCGGCGCCACACCAGGGACCGCTGCACTGGGGGACGCACCCGCGCCAGGAACAGTCGGCGCGCCGCTCGCCGCCGCACGCGCCAGGGGGACAACGCCCGCGCCTGGGCATGCGCCGCATGAGCCGCCAGAAGCGGGAACGGGAGCGCCAACCAAAATGGCGGCGTTCGGCGGGAGGTCCAGCGGAGCGACACCCGGAGGCGTGCTCGCCAGGGCCGCGCTGCTCTGACCGCCTGGATGGGCAGGAGCTGGAGCGAACTGGCCGGCCAAAAGGCTGGTTGGTTCATCCATCTGCGTCTCCGCTTCAGCCCTCTTCTTGGACTCTTGGGAGAGTGCCTGCTGAACGACAGCGCGACGGGCAGAAAACCGAGCACGCGTATCCTTATCCTTCTTGAAAGCTGGTTGCTGTACGCCCGGACCTTCCAGCATGGCTACAGGAGTCACAGTAAAGAAAAGTGATGGTTGACCGCCCCAACGACAGGCTTGTGGAAACTGACCGCCCCCACTCCGGATTTCCTGCTGCACTTGGCTATTGGCGTTCTGCGCATCTATAACTTGCTGCCGGACTTCGTCGTGGAAACGCAGTTTCAATCCCGTCTGCAGGCAATTGTGCGCTCCCGCGCAAGAAAGCATTCCGGGGACATGGTTCATCATGGGCCCGCGAGTTTCCGGAGGCTTCGAAGTACCATCATGCTACAGGAGAGCTGTCTGAGAAATTGATCGGGAACATGACTGATCGCCTTCTCGCGGCCCTCCGCAAATTGTTTCGCATAACGACGACGACGACGAAATCTCTTGAACCGACGACGACGACGAAGACGAAACGACGAAAACGACGACGAAAGCGACAACGACGACGGCGCGCCCCAACAGGCGACGACGACATTACGACGACGACGACGACGGCACGCCCCAACTGGCTTCCCAAGACGCCCCCAAACCCATGCTCCCAGAAGGCCTTTTGGGAATCCGATTCATACGGCATCCGCCCCTCTACACAACAATTTTTTTCGAAGGCCTTTCGGAATGCAGATTGACATGCGTGGACTGCGGTCCACTACCTCAGTGGAGCAGTGAATTCGTCAAGGCCTGGGGTCTGCTAAAATCTGAACGCGTGCGAAACGCGCGCGATGGTTCTAGTACGTATATGTATGTGTTTATGTATGTGTGGATTTTTATGTGTCTGCATGTGTATACATGTATGTATGTACATATATATACACATATATATATATGTGCATGTGTATATACATATTTACACGTCAGCACACACACATATATATATATATATATATATATTCACATGTATGCATACATACACATGCATGCGTTGGTGTATGTGTACGTATACTATTTGTATATATGTATGCATGTGCTTTTGATTATATATATATGAATACAGATGCATTTTTTCACACACACACATATATATATATATATATATATATATATATATATATATAAAAAGAAAAGCACTTGTTATTACAGATATATGTATATGGATATACATTTGTATTTGTATATGTGCATGTATGTCTATGTGCATATGTATGCATGCATGCATGCAGGTATGTATGTATACACTTTGGGATCTACTGCCGTCTGCTTCTTTTATTTGTCGTGTCCAGCATCTGGCAGTGACCCTGGCCGCCACCTCGCGTGCTTCCGCATGTAGTTTCCACTGGCCTTACTTTTTGCATGTGGTTCCGTTCCCTGGATTGCGCTCTGGCGACGTGTGTGGTCTTTCCCACTATCGGAATCTATCCTGCCCGTCGCATGACTAATGCGCTCACCTTAGGTTGCGGTGTATCCGCGCCCGGAGTGACAGTGTCGAGTGCTTGAGCTGACCTCGGCGCATCTGGAAGTTCTTCGCGTTCTACGGCGCTCTGGCCGTCCGTCGGTCCTCCCCTTTTTTCCTTCCCGCCTTCCTTTTCTTGTCTTCTTAATTCGTTCCCATCGCGTACCGCCCATAGCCGATCGCTTGCTGGATCCGACCTGCCTCACCAATATGTTTTTCCTTGCACTCTTGCTCTCTTCCTGTCGTCGCATGTCCCGCCGAGAACTTGTGTGGAGACGTCCAGATCTTGTTCTCAAGATCCGTTGGGCTTCTGAATAACAGCTATTGTTCATCATTTTCGTCTTCTTCTTCCGCTTCTTCTTGTTCTTATTCTTTCTCCTGCCCCTTCCTCCTCTTCCTCCTCCTCTTCGTCCTCCTCCTCCTCCCACCCCCTCCTCCTCCTCCTCCTCCTCCTCCTCCTCCTCCTCCTCCTCCTCCTCCCGTTCCGTTGAAGTGCCGTGCTTAATGAGCTGGCTGTTTCATCCAATCATGCCCGCTACGTTTTATTGCTAACGCGCCTCTGACTTTCATGGCTTCTTGCTTGCTGAGCTCTGGGCGTTGCACGTTTTTCGCGCAGGGGGTCCACGGGGTCATCGCAGATTGATCTGGCTCGAAAAGTGCTACATTGAGGTGGGTCTAGGGTTCCCGTCGTGCCGTTTGACCGATGATGTCTTTTTCGCAATGTCGGATGTCAGGAATTGGCATGCGCGGCCGCGAGGCTTTCGCCTTCTCTGAGCCACTGGGCGAGCTCGGGCCGGCCGTTCCTGCCGGCGCCCGTCCTGTGTTCGAGAGCCTCCGTCCGAGGTTCTCGGTCCCGTGTCCGCTCAGGGTGCTCCTCCGCACGCACACGAAGTCCTTCATGGCCCGTGTGTGGTTCCCGCGCCCCAGTGCGCCTCCTCTTCTGTGCCTTCTGTGCCCCAGCGCGCCCCGCCAGTGCCAGACCGCCGTCTGACTCCCTCGCGGCCGCTGCGTAACAAAAGTCCGCTCAGGGCCTCTGGGCATTCTTTCCGCCCTCGTGCAGGTCGGCCGTGGCCCGGTCGTGCTCGGCTCGCTCTGCCTCGTGGGCGCTTCCCTCCCGCGGCCTGCCCCTCGCGTGTTGCCTTCCCTCCTGCCCTGTTTTCGCGCTCGGCGTGCGCCCTTTCTCGGACGCCGCAGGGCCGGCCGGGGGTGGCACGGGGCAGGTAGCAGGTTGTCCCTCTTCTTGCCTCCTGCCCTGCGGCAGCTCTCTTGTTTTTCCCGCTGCCTTGGTGCACGAATCGGTGGTCCGCGGCCGGTTCTAGCCTAGAAGCGGCGTGGCCCACCGTGCTGCCCAAGGAGGGCACAGGTAACAGGCAACAGCAGGAGGAGGCAGACAGGAGGGGGGAGGTTGCAGTTAAACTGGAGTGGGCAGGGGTCATACAGGTGTCTCGGAAGCTCGTTTGATACCCAAACGCGGTGCTGTGGCGCTGCGCTGCCTGGAGCAGCGCGGCCCGGGCTGCCATGGCGGCTGCGATGATGGACGAGGACGCCTTTGTATGGTAACGGGGCGCAGGCTTTGTTCAAAGATAAAGGTGTGGTAGCAGTGATCGCGGCCTAGGTGTGATTACGTCGAGATTCAGTGAGGGAGCGTTTGCGGATGGGCGGACCGCAGTCCAGATTTTCCGGATTTGGGGTGTCGCCGATAGTTGTCTTCTCGTAGCAGTGGGTACGTTAATAGACGTGTTGTGCGCTGTTTTGCTTTGAGGTGATTGACAGCGAGGCCTGCCTGCAATTTCTTTGTCCTACGGTTGTCGCCGACCCAGAGGCAGCCGCTGCGTTGTGTCATTTGAGCATATCACGGTCGCACTTGCACCAAGTATCGGCACCCTTTTATCGTGATGCGGGTCGGTGTGCGTTGGTTACGGCGTTGTTTCCGCAGTGTCTTGGTCGTGGTTTTGGCGTTGTTGGCGTTGAGTTGTGGCCTTGTGTCTGCGGTGTCTTGCAAGGGGTTTTCATAAGGATACATTTGGGACGTGGTTTCGGGGTGTCTTCAGCCAGTCTTTCGGTTTTGGGGCACGTGTTGGGGCCTTGCACTTGCCTTTTTGGGCTTTAGGGCGCTGTTCGGGGGGAATCGAAGGTTGTTGAATCGACCCGGAAGCCATCTAGAGCCCTCCAGGGTTGCAAGGCGAGCACACTGAAGTATTTAGGTCTGTCAGCTCTTTTGGCCTCCCAGGGGGTTGTGGGAAGGCACGGGGAGCCCTCCTGGGGCCTCTGGGGGCGTCTTGCCGCCTGGCCTGGCTTGGGCCGCAGGGCTGCCTTGGGTGGTCTCGGTGCTGCCAGGGGACGTCTTGAGGCCGCCGTCCTCGAGGATTTCGCGGGCGTCCGGAGAAGGGCAGAATGCAGCCGTAGGGCCAAAGTGGTGTGCTTGTGCGCCATCTGGGATTTCTCTGCCTTGCAGACCTGGGGTCAAGGCGCGGGTCCTCGGGGACCGTCCCTGTGAAGAGAGAAGGGTAAGCGAGCGTGTGAGTGTTCGACAGTGGTATTGCGTTCCACGGTGAGATTTGGTACCGGAAATGCATGTCATTTGGCTTCTGTTTCGCGCGCGCGTTTGTTTGTTTGTTTGCGCATGTGTATATGTATGTGTATGTTTTTTTTTTTTTTTTTGTTTGTTTTTTTGTATTTGTATGTGTATGTGTACGTGTATGTGCAGGTGTGTGTGTGTGTGTGTATATGTGTATGTCTATGGGTGTGTGTGTGTGTATGTGTATGTGTATGCGTATGTGTGTATGTGTGTGTGTGTGTGTGTCCTTCTCTCTAGCAGCCCCGCGGCCTCGCTGGCGCTGCGACCCGTTCGCGCAGCCTTTGCAGCCTCCTGCCGCCTTGACTGGCCCACGGGCCCCCTTCGCCTTGCCCTGCCCTTCTGCCAGTCGCTTGGCCTTTGCATCATTATAGCTACCACTGTCCCCCCCTTGCGCCCTCTGGCTCGGCGTTTCCTGGCCAGTCCACGACTTGCGCTTCCCCGCAGCCGCTCTGATCCCCTGTGAGCGGCTCGAGGGCTCGGCCGTTAGCCGGCCGCTAGTTTCGCGCACGTCTGTCTCCGATTTTGAACGCTCTGTCGCTGCGCGCGGGGCCGCGACGCCAAAGGTGTGTGTGTGTGTGTGTGTGTGTGTGCGCGCGGCTCTTCGCTGCCCCTGCGACGCCTGTCCTGTCCCGCCTTATCGCTCGCCCGTCTCGGTCATGCCTGTATCGTCACTGCACCTTGCCTTAACTTTTCCCGTACTGTCGGCCCTGGCTTTTGGCATCGTTCCGTCTCTTCATCCATTCCCCCTGCAGCCCATACCCAGAGTCGCGCATGGCACGTCTGATCCAAGGTGGTGGATCCTTGCCCCCGAATGCTCAGGTGGCTGGCCGCGCGCGCGTGCTCCGCCTTCCGACGTTCTACGTCTCGACGCTGCGCGCGAGACCGCGACGCTAAGCAGTGAATGTGTGTGTTTTACGGCGACGACCCGACCTCCGACCAGAGGCCATGGCCATCGGCGTACGGCCTGCGACCAGCCGCGGGCAGCCCGTCGCGTCGCCACGCCCAGCCCATGCCGCCACCAGTCCCAGCTCCCGCCACCGCCAGCAAGGCCGCTGGGGTGCGCCTCGCCGGCATGCCTCCGCCGCCTCCCAGGGCACGCGCTGCTCCCGTGCCCGGTGCACATGCATGCCCTCCTGGGCCCTGTCCAGTGCACCGCAGGTTGGCTGCGCAGGCCAGCGCTTGGCTCGATGGAGAGTGGACAGGTGCGCCGCTAATTCGCATGAGGTGGAGGGCTCGGTTGTGCAAGGGCTACAAGCATCCTGCCAGCGACGATGACGCCCCCGCCGACCTCTTCGCCGACGCTATCGGGCAATCTCGTCGATGCCATTCCTGCTGGCGTCCTCGGCCTCGCTTCGTCACGTGCGTCGCCCCGCGCCAGTTCTCCGGTTTCTGGTGGCGGGGCCGCTTCGGCGTGGAAGTGGCCGAGCCTCCCGCCCCGAAGGGGGGCGGGGGGGCACCGGCCTCGGCGTGAGGCCTCGACTCGTCGCTCGCCCGTCTTCGGGCTGTTGCCCCAGTTGGGCGGCGGCGAGCGAGGGGGGGAAGTGAGAAGAAGAATGCCTTCTCCGCTGGTGGCGGGGCTTCTCACAAACAGTCGTGCCTTCTGAGAAGTTTCCCGTGTCCTCGGGGAAGGCTTAGGACATTCTTCAGCAGGCCGGATGACTTCCGAGCCTTCTGAGAAGGCCTGCCCGTTCTCACTTCCCCCCCCCCGAGCTCGCCGCCAAGTTTAGGTTTCCGTGCGTTGCGTGCCACCTTGCTGTCGCCCTTTGGCGCGCATTGCACATTGCTCGGCTTCGCTGAGCCGATGTCCTTATCTTTCGCGCTTGCCGTTGGGACTGCCCCTCAGTCTGCGGGCCCCCTCCCTGCCTTCCACGCCTAGATGGCTGAAGCGGGTACCGCACACGGTACTGCGTGTGCCCTCCCCGCTATCCACGTCCGGATGGCTGATGCCAGTAGGGCCGCATTTTAAGTGATGCTCGAAGGCCCAGTCGCCGCGCACATTGTTTGTACGCTTTCTCCGCCTCGTCGTTGCGCGCGAGGCAACAAGGAGTTATCGCTAAATTGTCGGCTTGACCTTCCTGCTATTCCGCCTGCATACCAAACTTCAAGGACCAAGGTGCATGGACCCCCTCAGCAGTGCCGTTGGCCTCGTGGTCGCCTGTCCGTCCGCCTGCGTGACGGCGTGCTCCGGCCGAGTTTGCCGCCGGCCGCTTCATCACCATTCGCCATGCTCGCCCGTGCTTTGGTGCGGCTTCTCCTCGGCCCTCGGTGCATACGCTTTTTGCGGGCCACTGGAATCGCCGGCCTTGCTACTGTGCGGTCGGCCTCCCTAGGCAGCCAGTGCGTGGCCTGGTCGGCACTGCGGCACCTTTGCGACGCTTGGTGGGTCGTCTCTCCCCTCCCCTGTCCCGCCGTCGTGCGTCGCTCCTTTGCTCTCTCCTTGCTCGTGCCTCGGGCTGCGGCCTGGCGGGTCGTCCTCCGCCGTCGGTCGTCGGGTCGTTACCGTTGCTCCCCCGTTTCCTTCTCCTGGCCTCGGTTTCGCCTCGGTCTTCTGGCCTCTCTTGCTGTGTCCTTCTGGGCCGTCCACCTGGGCGCTGGCGCCGGCCGCGCTGCTTCTGTCCTCTTCCGTCGCATCTTCTGCCCGTAAGCGGGCCTCAGCGGCGCTGCGCTTGCCTGGTTGTCGTGGGGCCCCTTTTCCTGCCTGTGCAACCCCCCTGCGGTTGCCCCATCGACGCACGATCGGTGATAATTACATGTAGTGCATCCCGCTAACGCCTTCGAGGAGTCGGACCAGTTGGTCGGGAATTGTCTGTCGTTCGACTCTTTTTCCTTGAACGGAGCCTCTTGATCTGTGCAAGCTGATCCCGTGGTGATGTGTTGGCTCGAAGCCGTTCGGGGGTCCGCTCCGGCTCAGCCTCCGCGGTGGATGCTGGGCGCCCTCTGCGCGGCGGCGCCCTGGCTCGGGCAGCTGGGGGCCGCCTGGGTGGCGCGGCCGCCGCCCTGCCCGCCTTGCCCGGCCTGCCCAGCGGCGGAGCTCCGCTGCGAGCCGCACTGCGGCTCCTGCCCGGCGTGCCCGCCGTGCCCCGGCTGCCCGGCGGTCAGCTGGGCCGCGGGCCCAGAGGCCTCCTGCCCGGCCTGCCCAGCGGCGGCCTGCGAGGAGGCAGCGGCGGCGGCCTGCGACTCGCCCGCCCCGGCCGCCTGCTGGGGCTTCGCGGCCGGGCTGGGGCTCGGTCTGACCGCTGGCCTCGTGCTGGCGTGGGTGCTGGCCGTGGGCCTGGGAGGTGTCCGGCGCCTCGCGAGGCGCGCGGTGCTCCTCCTCGCGCAGAGCGACGGCGGCACGGGCTGCGTCGTCGAGGTCGACCGCGGTGACGGCAGGCAGGCGCGCTTCCGTGCCATCAGGGCGTGATGGCGGCGGGGCCGAGGACGCTCGACGTCGCGGAGAGCCAGATCTGCATCAACTTCGACGACGACGAGAACTTTCGGTGGCACCACCGGCTGCTCCTCGTCCCTGGGCATGCGCCAGGGGAGTGGGTGGCCGCGACGCCGGACGGCGAGATCCTCGTGCTGCAGCTCTCGGCGCACCTCGTGGTGGCGCTCACGCGGAACGCCCCCTTTCCGCAGCGCGTCCGCGGGAACGTGTACGCCTTCGGCGACCTGGACCAGGACGCGCTGGAGCACCTGCGCATCGAGGGGCGGAACCTCGCTCGGGTGCTGGGGGTCGCCGTGCCAGCCGCCCCGCCCGGCGCGCGGGTGGCTCGCTGGGTGATCGCGGATCCCGCCGTCGAGGGCTTCGGCGACGAGGTCGAGCCAGGCCTGGCCGCGAACGCCGACCGGTTCGTGGGGCGCGACGCGGTGGGGCTGGCGCTCGTGGACGACGAGGCTGGATGGGTGGCCATCGAGAACGTGCAAGCGGAGGATCACCCGCACTGGGTGGCCGAGAAGCGGCGGGGTCCTGGGCGCGACCCTCGGATCCTGCCGCTCCCGCCGCCTGCTCAGGGCAAGCGGGTCCAGCTGAGCTCGGTGATCGCCGCCTTGAAGCCGCAGGACGACCCGTCCTGGCCGTTCAGGGGCCCGAAGGCGCTGCCGGAGTTCTTGGAGGCGGTCGACGCGTCGGGGCTCACGCTGACCGCGTACTGGGGGTACTGGGTCGAGCAGTCGGGCGTGGCGAGGCTCAGCGGGCCGTCGCACGAGCTGAAGGTGATCCTCGAGGTGCTGCATCACGCGCTGGTGTACGATCGCCTGGATGTGACGAACCTCGCGAGCTTCGAGCTGCTGGCTCGCCGCGCCCTTCAGATCCAGAGGGCGGTGAAGCGGTGCCCGAGGCACCCGACCTTCGAGGGCCTGGACCTCATGCTGAGCAGCGAGCTGGACGAGACGGGGGGCGTGGTGACGTCCCGCTTCGACGCCTTCATCGCGGAGGAGCAGAAGAATCGCGGCATCATTCTGAAGCAGGAGCGGCTCTGGCGCGAGGAGCAGGACCACGAGATGAGGAAGTACGCGAGGTCCTCGGACTCGGCGGCGGGGGACGACAGGGAGCGACGGGCCAAGAAGGCTTCGCCAAAGGAGAAGGCGAAGCCGCGGGCCAAACCTGCCGACGGCTGAGGGCGCCATGTCGGTGCCCTCCTGGCCCGGCGTTCCGCCAGGCCTCACCTTGCCCGCTGCGGCGCCGCTCTCTCCCGAGGCGCAGCGCGGGCGGTCTTCCGAGGGGGTCTCCTCCGAAGGCCAGACTTCTCTGTTTCCTCTTCCTGACGGCGGCCGTCTTTTTCGTGCTGTCCGACGTGGGGAACGTGCCGCTTTGCCTCGGTACCTGGCCCAGCGCGCTGCCCGCTCGGACGACAGGGATCGGCGAACTGTCGAGGCCATCTCGTCCATCAACGCGCTCAGCTGCGCCCAGGCTGGAAGGCCGCTGCGACTGCAGCCGCCGAGCAAGTTGCCGCCGACTACTGCCCAGGAGTCCGCGGTCAGGCGGATCCGACGACGAGTTCGAGAATTCGGTTCAAAGCCCTCGGACATGGATCGCGCTGGAGCCCTTCAGGAGCTCCTCAAGTGCAAAGACCTGTACAGCGGTGCAGGCGAGTGCTCGACCCGACGGGACTACGACCCCGAGCGGCTCAACGTCTTTCGGACATCGGCTGTGCCGATTAAGCTCCGCGACGTCGCGCCTGCTCACGTGGCCGAGGCCCTCGACAGTTTTGACTCGGAGGTGGTGCGGCCCCTGGCGGACATCGCCCCGGATGAGGAGATCGTCGAGCCATACTGGGACCCGTTGCTCAACCCTCGGACGAAGGCCAACCGCCCGAGGCTTGTGGACTTCTTGTCCAGGATGGCCGTGCGGGGCCTGGTCGACGGCAGGCGTCGTCGGAAGGCCTGCGTCAGCACGTTCTTCGTGGCGAAGAAGAATGGCGACATCCGCATGGTGGTGGACGCCCGACAGGCCAATCAGCTTCATCGACTTCCCCCTCGGACCACCTTGGCGTCGGGGGAGGCTCTCGGTGCTATCAACCTCCTCGACGCTGTGGACGCGTCGGCGGAGGACCTGGCCGACTTCGACGGCTGCTTCGACTCGCTGTGTGCTGGCTCAGTGGACCTGCAGGATGGTTTCTACCAGTTCAGTGACCCGTCCTGGGGGTCTTGGATGTGCTTCGACGTGGAGGTCACCGCGGGCGAGCTCGGGATCGACACGATCTACGACGAGGACCAGCGCTGCCGCGTCGCGGTCGGGAAGGACGAGCTCGTCTGGCCCTGCTTCGCGGCGCTGCCGATGGGCTGGAGCTGGGCGCTCTGGATGTGCCATGAGGTCCTTGTTGACGCGATGGACGCCGTGGGTCTGGCTGGAGATACGTGGGTCCTCGACAAGGCCCGCGCTCCGCAGATGCATGGTGGCCGGGTGGCCATGGCGCCTTACGTCGACAACGGCAACATGGTCTCGCTGTCGGCGGCCGCCGTCAACGAGAGGTTGGCGGCGCTCACGGCGGAGCTGGACAAGCGCGGGCTGCGCTGGCATGAGCTCGAGTGGGCTCAACCTGGCCTCACCGTGCTGGGTCTCGTGCTTGACGGCCGACGAGGGCGTCTCCGCCACACGGCGAAGCGGGCCTGGAGGCTCTACCTGTCACTACACCGGGTGGTGGAGGCGCCGTGGCTGGCGCGGTGGCAGCTCCGGCGGATCGTGGGTCACATCGTCCACTACTTCTCGGTGCTGCGACCGGGCCTCAGCGTGCTGGGCGAGTGCTACGACTTCATCGGCAGTGGTCCTCTCGACCCGGTCGTCCGACTTCCCAGGGGCGTCATCGCCGAGCTTAGGGTCGCTGCGGGCTTGGTCTTCCTCGGCGAGGTGGACCTCTGCAGGGTGCCGGCGGACGTCGCCTTCGTCACCGACAGCTCGCTCAAGGGCTACGCTGTTTGCCAGGCCCGCGTGGAGCCCGCTGAGGTGCTGGAGGCCACTCGCTGGAAGGAGCGCCAGAGGTTCGTCGCGACCGAGGCCGCCGCCGATCCCGACGCCGAGGTCTTCTTGGGCCGCGCCACCGGGGTGCTGGACGGCGGAGGCGACTTCGACCTCAGCTCGCGGCCGCAGCTGCGGCACGCCGTGGCTAGGCGCCGCCGCGTGGAGCTGGAGATCGGGGTCCCACCAGCGGCGCTGTCGGAGGAGCTCCTCGACCCGCTGCGCTGGCAGGAGGTGCGCCGCGGCGCCTGGCGGCACCCCGGCCGCATTCATGCGCTGGAGGCGCGCGCTGCCGTGGCGCCGATGCTGCGGGCCGCCGCGGACAGGAGCTTCCATGGCAAGGAGGTCCTCGGTCTCTGTGACAACATGTCGAGTGTCTGCGCCTTCGAGAAGGGCCGTGCGACGAACTGGGAGCTGCTGGCCCAGTGCCGCAAAGTGGCGGCCGTCTTCTTCGCCTGTGAGCTGCGTCCCAGGTGGCGCCATGTTCCAGGTGAACTCAACGTGGCCGATCGGGGAAGCCGTGCAGCGGACCGAGGAGAGCTGCTGCCTGGGCGATACCGAGGCCGCGGGCCGCTGCTGGCGCCCTCGCCCGGCTCGAGGCACGAGCTGGTGCGCGCGGTGCCGCGACCAGTCCCAGGGCCCATCCTGTCGACCATCATGGTCTGCGACGCGGGCCCCCTGGACGCCAGGGAGCCCGCGCCGCCGCCTCGCCCGCCATGCACCGCGGGCGGCTATCCTTTTCAGAGACGGAGTTGTAAACACAGTTCTTCCTCTCTACATTCCCATTCTCTACCAGCTGGTCACGAGTCTGATGTCTGGGGAGACCGCACGGATCCGACCGTCCTCGTCCATGACGCCGCAGTCCCCTACGGGCCCCACGCCGCTGCTGCTGCCGCTTCAGGTCATGAGGCACCTCGAGGCCACGAGGCTCCCACGTCGCCGCGCGCCACCGCTGGCCGCTGCTGCCCTGGAGGCCCGGAGGGGCCAGATCACGTACATCTACGTCGTCCAGGGGAAGCCAGGGGCCGAGCGTCGCCCCGGATGCCGACGGGATCGTCTCGGAGGAGCTGTCCTGCAGGCCTGGATGGGCCGTGGCCCCAACGTGGAGCTCATGATGGGGACCCCGTGGGAGCACCTGGTACTCACCAACGTCGCGTTCGCAGAGCGTCGCCCGGGAAGCCGACGGGATCGTCTCGGAGGAGCTGTCCTGCAGGCCTGGATGGGCCGTGGCCCCAACGTGGAGCTCATGATGGGGACCCCGTGGGAGCACCTGGTACTCTCCAACGTCGGTTTCGCAAGCCTGGCTTCTTGGAGGTGTTCTCGGGCTGTGCACGTCTTACCGGAGCCGTTCACGAGGCTGGGCTCAGATGTCTGGCGCCGATCGACATACGTCGGGGTCCTCACTGCGACTTGGGAGGTCTCGGGCTCCGACGCCTGGTTGAGTCTTGGCTCAAGCGAGGCCGCATTTGGTGGATTCACATCGGGCTGCCTTGCACCCGCTGGGTACCTGCCGGCGGCCGCAGAGAGCCGGGGCCCGTCGACCGCCTCCTCGTGGACTTCACGCGGCGGCTGCTTCGGATCTGTCGCCAGAGAGGGGTGCACGTCACTTTCGAGAACCCCCGCGACAGTCGGGTGTGGAACTACCCGCCACTGGCCCGCGAGCTTCGGCGGCTGCGCTGGCCCAAGGTCACCTTCGACAGCTGCCGGTTCGGCGCCCCGTTCAAGAAGCCAGGAGCGCTGGCCGGGTCGTTCGAGGCGCTGGAGGCCGTGGGGCTACGCTGTACTTGCCAAGACCGCCACCCCGTGGTGCTGCAGGGCAAGGTGCGGCATCCCGTGCGCGGCTGGGTGTGGCGGACGACCCTGGCGGGCGCCTACCTGCCCAGCTGGTGCCGCACGGTCGTGCAGATCGCCAGCTGCGATGCCCCGCCAAGTGCCTGGGGTCGGACAGAGCCCGCGGGCTGGGCGTGTTGGGATCACGCGATGGCGAGCGCGGTCGGTGCCCGCGAGCCCGCAGCGAGCTCAGCACCGATCTGCCCGCGCAGGTTCCGTCTCCCCTGGCGGGCGGCCTGGCCGAGCGCACTGGACCCCAGACCGCGCTCGTGACGCAGGCGCAGAGCTGGCGGAGCAGACTGGAGTGGCGCCCCCGCGCTTGAAGCGGCCGCTGCGAGTCCCGCGTGCCGAGGCCACCGCCAGGCGGCAGCGCCGCGCGGCTGCTGCCGCCAGGGCCGACGCCTCGCTGGCCGACACCTCGTGGACGCCCGGCGACTACCTCCGCCTGGCGCGCCTCAGGCCAGCCACTCGCGACGCCTACGCTGCTGCAGTGGCCGAGCTCGAGGACTTTGCCGCCAGGCTAGGGCTGCGCTTGGACAGCGCAGAGGCGGCTGATCATACTGTCAACCTGTACTGCGAGGCCCTCTTCTTCGCGGGCGAGCCGCTCTACCTGGGTAAGAACGCTCTCTACGGCCTGTGCAAGATCCGAGGCTGGTCTGCTGCGCGGCCGCATTTCCAGCGATCCAAGGATGCGCTGGACGGCTGGGCGGCGAAGCAGCCCGCGAGGCCGCGGCAGCCCCCGCCCTGGGATGCTGTGCTCCTCCTCATCATCCATCTTGCCAAAGGCTCGTTGCTGCAGGCTTTGACCGCTCTCGCGGTCTTAGTTCAATTTGACATGTACCTGCGGCCGAGCGAAGTGCTCGCCTTAGAGGTCTCGCATGTTGTGGGTGATCGTCGCATTGTTGACCAGCCGCGCTCAGGGCGCCAAGAGGTAGCCGCTATCATCGCCCCGCTCGGACACGACGAGTCCAAGCCGGCCAAGAACCGAGATTTTGATTGCACAGTCGTTGCTGGATCTCGACTTCCGATCCGCCGAATGTGCCCAGGAGTGCTGCTTGCGCTCCAAGCTCGTGCTCGTTCCCTTTCGCCTCCCACCTCGCTCCTTTTTGCCCCGCTCTCTCTTTCTGTGTACGAAAAGATCTTGAGAGAGGGTGCCCTCGAAGCTGGGGTGCACGACTTCGTTAGTGTGCCCCACCAGCTCCGACACGGTGGCCCGTCCCACGATGCCCTGCACGCGGTCCGCGACCTCGGCGCCATACAGGCCCGAGGCCGGTGGCGGGCCGCCTCCAGTGTCCGCGTCTATGAAAAGCATGGTTCGCTCTTGAGGCAAACGGCCAAGCTTTCCAGAGCTCAGCGTGCCCTCGCCTCGCGCTTCGACGACCGTGCTCTGCTTGCCATTCTCAGACGTGTCGCTTCAGTCGAGCATCCCATTGTGAGTTGATTTGTCTTTGAGGACCCTCCCGCCCTCCCTAGGACATAGATATGGGTATGGGTCGTGTGGCAAAGAGATGGCGGTTTAACGCTGGTGTTTGTGCTCGGCCCAGGCGCGCTCCGCCTGGCCCTCACCTTTTCTCTTGAGAACCCTCCGTGGAGGCCCATGGCACTTGCTTGATGTGAAAATTGTGCATCGCTCAGGCTTCGCCTTTCACGTCCTGTCTTGTCTAGTGCTGTCTCCCCACACATCACCCGGCCCCCTGGGAAGAGGCGCGGAGAGTGGTCAGGAATTGTCTGTCGTTCGACTCTTTTTCCTTGAACGGAGCCTCTTGATCTGTGCAAGCTGATCCCGTGGTGATGTGTTGGCTCGAAGCCGCCCACCCACCGTCCCCCACACTCCTCGTGTGGCAAAGAGATGGCGGTTTAACGCTGGTGTTTGTGCTCGGCCCAGGCGCGCTCCGCCTGGCCCTCACCTTTTCTCTTGAGAACCCTCCGTGGAGGCCCATGGCACTTGCTTGATGTGAAAATTGTGCATCGCTCAGGCTTCGCCTTTCACGTCCTGTCTTGTCTAGTGCTGTCTCCCCACACATCACCCGGCCCCCTGGGAAGAGGCGCGGAGAGTGGTCAGGAACAAACGTTTTTTCCCAACCATCCTGTGGTGTTGGGTCCTCGTTTTGAAGAGACAGCGCCCCGCGTTCCTCTCCTCTTCTCCTCCTCCTCACCCTCCTCCTCCTCCCCCTCCCTCCTCCCCATCCTCCCTCCTCCCTGCGATTCACCCACCTGGTACAGCGTTTCGTGGCCCCATTAGGGGGCTTCACCGAAGGTACCAGTGGCACCGCCCGCATGCGTCCGCAAGCACCCAGCACAGCCCATGCTCCTTGCGTTTCACCCACCCAGTACAGCGTTTCGTGGCCCCATAGGGAGCTCCACCGAAGGTACCAGTGGCACCGCCCGCATGCGTCCGCCACCACCCAGCACAGCCGTTGCTCCTTGCGTTTCACCCACCCAGTACAGCGTTTCGTGGCCCCATAGGGGGCTCCACCGAAGGTCTCATTGGCACCGCCCGCATGCGTCTGCCACCACCCAGCACAGCCCTTGCTCCCTGCGTTTCACCCACCCAGTACAGCGCTTCATGGCCCCATAAGGGGGCTCCACCGAAGGTCCCAGTGGCACCGCCCGCATGCGTCCGCCACCGCCCAGCATAGCCCTCGTTCTCTGCGTTTCACCCACCCAGTACAGCGTTTCGTGGCCCCATAGGGAGCTGCACCGAATGTTCCAGTGGCACCGCCCGCATGCGTCCGCCACCACCCAGCACAGCCCTTGCTTCGTGCGTTTCACCCACCTGGTACAGCGTTTCGCGGCCCCATAAAGGGGGCTCCACCGGAGGTCCCAGTGGCACCGCCCGCATGCGTCCGCCACCACCCCGCACAGCCATTGCTCCTTGCGTTTCACCCACCCAGTACAGCGTTTCGTGGCCCCATATGGGGGTTCACCGAAGTTCCCAGTGGCACCGCCCGCATGCGTCCGCCACCACCCAGCACAGCCGTTGCTTCTTGCGTTTCACCCACCCAGTACAGCGTTTCGTGGCATCATAAGGGGATTCCGCCGAAGGTCCCAGTGGCACCGCCCGCATGCGTCCGCCACCACCCAGCACAATTGCGGTATTCACGACTTCTTCGCCAGGCTAATTTTGGTTGTGTGTGTGTGTGTGTGTGTGTGCGTTTCTGTGCGGTCTCTGAGGGTTCGTGCGCTTCTAGTCGTGCGCGCGTTTCTGCTTTTCGACATCCTCCGCCTTGTCGCTGCATGCAGGGCCGCGACTCCAAACTGTGTCTATGTGTGTCTAAATGGCAAGACGCGCGCGCATTTGCTTTCATCCTGTGGTGTTGGGCCCTCGTTTTAAGAGACGGTCCCCGCGTTCCTTCCCTCCCTCCCTCCTCCCTCCCTCCTTCTTTCCTCCTCTTTCTCCTCCCTCCTCCCATCCCTGCCTCTGCCCTGCGTGGCCACATAGGGAACCCCACCTAAAGTCCCAGTGGCGGTGTCCATATGCGTCTCCCCCACCCAGTACGGCGTTTCGTGGCCCCCTGGGGAACTCCACCTAAGGCCCCAGTGGCGGTGCCCACATGCGTCCCCCCACCAAACACAGCGTTTCGTGGTTCCATAGGGAGCTCCACCTAAGGTCCGAGTGGCGGTATCCACATGCGTCTCCCCCATCCAGCACAGCGTTTCGTGGCCCCACTGGGAACTCAACGTAAAGCCCCAATGGCGGTGTCCACATGCGTTTCCCCCATCCAGCACAACGTTTCGTGGCCCCATATGGTGCTCCACCTACGGTCGCATTGGCGGTGTCCACATGGGTCTCCCCCACCCAGTACGGCGTTTCGCGGCCCCATAGGGAACTCCACCTACGGCCCCAATGGCGGTGTCCACATGCGTCTCCCCCACCCGGCACAGCGTTCGCGGCCCCATAGGGAACTCAACCTGACGCCCCAGTGGCGGTGTCCACATGCGTTTCCCCCGCCCAGCACAACGCCTCGTGGCTCCAATGGGAGCTCCACCTGGGGTCTCAGTGGCGGTGTTCACATGCGTCCCCCCACCCAGCACAGCCTCGTGGCCCCAAACGGAGTTCCACCTAAGGTCCCAGTGGCGGTGCCCACATGCGTTTCCCCCACCCAGCACAGCGTTTCGTGTGGCCACCTAAAGCCCCAGTGGCGGTGTCCACATGCGCCTCCCCCCCGCCCAGCACACTGTTTCGTGGCTCCATTGGGAGCTCCACCTAAAGTCCCAGTGGTGGTGTCCACATGCGTCTCCCCCTCCCAGCACAGCGTTCGTGGCCCCATAGGGAGCTCCACCTAAAGTCCCAGTGGCGGTGTCCACATGCGTCTCTCCCACCCAGTACGGCGCTTCGCGGCCCCATAGGGAGCTCCACCTAAGGCCCCAATGGCGGTGTCCACATGCGTTTCCCCCACCCAGCACAACGCCTCGTGGCTCCATTGGGAGCTCCACCTAAGGTCCCAGTGGCGGTGTCCACATGCGTTCCCCCCATCCAGCACAGCGCCTCGTGGCTCCATAGGGAGCTCCACCTGAGGTCCCAGTGTCCACATGCGTGTCCCCCACCCAGCACAGCGTTTCGTGGCTCCATGGACAGCTCCGCCTAAGGCCCCAGTCGCGGTGTCCACATGCGCCCCCCCCATCCAGCACAGCGCTTCGTGGCTCCATTGGGAGCTCTTACCTAAAGCACCAGATGCGGTGTCCTCGTGGGTCTCCAACGCTCGTTACAGCCTTTCGTGGCCCCATAGGGTGCTCCACCTAAGTCCCCAGTGGCGGTGTCCACATGCGTCTCCACCACCCAGCACAACGCTTCGTGGCCACATAGGGAGCTCTACCTAAGGCCCCAGTGGTGGTGTCCACATGCGTTTCCCCCATCCAGCACAGCGCCTCGTGGCCCCATATGGTGCTCCACCTACGATGGGTCTCCCCCACCCAGTGCAGCGCTTCGTGGCCTATAGGGCTCCACCGAAGGCGATACCCACAACTGCAAATGGGTGGGTCCTTCGCCAGGCCACTTTTGACCGTTGCGCCTCGACGCTGCGCGCGAAGCCGCGATGCCAATACGTGCTTGTGTGTGTGTGTGTGTGCGTGTGTGTGTGTGTGTGTGTGTGTGTGTGTGTGTGTGTGTGTTCTCCGCCCTGTCGCTGCGAGCAGGGCCACGACGCCAAGCGTGTGTGTGTGTGTGTTGTGTGTGTGTTGTGTGTGTGTGTGTGTGTGTGTGGTGGGCTGCGTTGTTGCGTCAAACGGAGTTTCGGGAAGTGAACGGCGGGTCGGGTTGACGTGTGCCGGCACTCTGAAAGTGCGATGGCGGGCCTCATTTCGAGGCTTTGTCGTGCGAGTCGGGGCCCCTGGCACGAGCGGGGAACACAGCCTTCAGTTTTTTACCTTATGGGCGTGAGAATGTCGAGGTCCAGATCTCGACTGGGAGTTGGTAGCTCGCAGTCGGCTGCAATTGGCATCGAATAATCGAGCCCCGCCAGAGGAGCTTCACCTCAAGGTGCTCTCTTACGTCGCGGAGCCCAAGGCAAGCCTGAGCTGCAAGTCGTGGCGCGAGTTCCTGTGCAGCACCCACCGCCGCCCCTCCGCGCGAGCTTTCCGTAGTCTGCTCTGCGGCCCCCTCGTGTTTCATGCCCTGAGGGGCAATCGACGAGACAGTGGACGTCATTAGTCGAGCCATCGAAATATGTTTATGCAGCGTGTCAGCACCTCCCGAGACTATTTTGTACCCAAATTGGGTTTGCCTGGGGGGGCGTCTTCGAAGCTTCGTAGGCCGTCTTGAGGCCGTCTTGGGCGTCTTCGACCGATCGTTCGAAGACTCGGGGCCTTCTTGCGCCGTCTTGGGGGCGTACTGGGTTCTCTTGGTCGCTCCGTATGCTGGTGGTCGGCTCGACGACGTGATGGCGATGACGAGGACGACGACGACGACGGCGAGGACGACGACGATGACGGCGATGCAGACGACGAAGACGACGACGACCACGACGACGACGTTCGGGGGCCTGTTTGTGGCTGAGGGGTTGTTGTGGGCGTCGTGGGGTCGCAGGGTCCACGTGCAGGTTCCCCCCTGTTACGAAGGCCCCTTCGTGGGCGCGTCCTGGGGTCTCCTGGGGTGTTCTTGTGGTGTCTGAGGCTGTGTCGGGGCCTTTTTGGACAGTTTGGAGGTCTGTGTGGGGCCGCTTGGGCCGTGTAGGGGCGATCCTGAGGGCTTATTGCGCCATTTTGGGCGCGGGCGCGGGCGGGGGCGAGGGCGAGGGTGCGGGGGCGTGGGGGCGCGAGCGCGGGCGCGGGCGCGGGCGCGGGCAGAAGCGGGGGGGGGGGCGAAAGTGCTGAGCCCCCCCCCTGCAGAGCGGAGGGGGGGCGAAAGCGCTGACCCCCCGCCCCCCCTGCAGAGCGGAGGGGGGGGGGCGAAGGCGCTGACCCCCCCCCCCCCCCCGCAGAGCGGAGGGTGGGGCGAAAGCGCTGACACCCTCCCCCCCCCCTGCAGAGCGGAGGGTAGGGCGAAAGCGCTGACCCTCCCCCCCTCCTGCAGAGCGAAGGCGGGGGGGGGGTGAACGCGCTGACCCCCCCCCTGCAGACCCTAGCAGAGCGGAGGGGAGGGCGAAAGCGCTGGCCCCCCCCCCCCCCTCCCCCCCCTGCAGAGCGGAGGGTAGGGCGGAAGCCCTGACACCCCCTCCCCCTGCGGAGCGGAGGCGGGGGGGGTGAAAGCGCTGACACCCCCCGCCTCCCCCCTGCAGAGCGGAGGGTAGGGCGAAAGCGCTGACCCCCCCCCCTGCAGTGCGGAGGCGTGGGGTGCGAAAGCGCTGACCCCCCTTTGCAGAGCGGAGCTCAAGGGAAGCTCAAGCGCACGCTCTTTTGAACTCACACGCCGGATCGGCGGATTTTCTTAGTAGTCGCTGACTTGGCTGTTTTGGCGGTGTGGCGCCTGGGCGTCACGGTGTGGCAGAATTCCACAGTTGGATACGTTTCCGAGGAGAGCTTCCACTCTCCAGTATGGCATTATGACCCTGATCCGCAGGATGGGATTTCAAGCTGCCAGAAGATGTGATCATTGTGTGTTCAGAGGACGTCGAGTCGCCAGAGTTTCACACCCAGGTACGATTCCAAGTTACAATAATCTCTTCTCACTTGCCCGACCATAGCCGTGCTGCCACGAGGTCTCGTGTAAGATTCTGAGCGTCAAGATGCTATCCTGATGCGCCTGGATAACGCCGAGTTACCCAGAGCACAAGTTTTCAGTTAGGACAAGAAGCATTGCGAGAGTCGTCTTGGTATCGTGCCCCAAGCCCCGTTGCCGCCATGGCCCCAATATAGGTGGACCGGTTTTGCGTTGGTGCGAGTGGTGTAACGAGTCTGGTAAGTTTGCCCCGTAATGCTTTCTGCTAGGAGGAACGAATAATCTCCATGGACATACGCAAACATCGGGTCAGATAGCGCGACTGCTTGGCTCATGAGCCAATAAGCCTGATCACAATCTCGTGAACTACAGTCGGACATCCATCTGGAGGATCTCTGACGTCATTCTTGTGGAATGGACGCGTTGCCCGCAAGCCGCATCATCCTTCACGTCGTAGCCAGTTTGGCTCAAGCTGTTTTTTTAGACCGTTTCGGCCATACGGACCTGCGCGTCTTGCTCGACCATACGGGCGCAGCCATGGTGGACTGCCGCGTATACGTTGGCAACATTGACTGGAAGGTCTCCCAGCGGGAGTTGCAGAGCCACATGGCTTCGGCTGGCGAGGTGGTCCGCGCGGAAATTTTCGAGAGGCTCACGCCGTTCTGCCGACGCCCACAAGGCGGGATGTGTGTCGGTGTCCTGGGCTGCCAGGGTGCTCCGAGGAGGGCAAATTGGAGGAGGATGACCAGGAAGAGGATGAGGAGAAGGAGCGGTATGACGGTGTGGCGAAGGAGGAAGACGAGGAGGAGTGGAGGAGGAACACCGTGGAGAGAAGTGAAGGCTTTGAGTGGCATGTGTCTAGGCCTCCCAAATGGGGTCGAAGTAGACGGTGTCGGAGGATCACGCCGCATCTAGGATGCATCGGTGATGCGGCTGGATGTGGAGCCCGATCTTTTCCACGTCGACTTCGCCGATACATCGCCGACGTCGACGATGCATTGCCGATGCATCGTTGATGCATTGCCGATATGTCGTCGGTGCGGCGCGATCATCCGACCCATCTCCTTCGGACCCTATCTGGGAGGCCTCGGATGGGGGAGGTGAGCCTCGAATCGCCGACAATGTGATTCCATGTCGGCCTTGCCGTCGGAATGATCATGTAATTCCATGGCGGCCCACATGTTTTTAAATCTGGGGAAGACTGGGATGAGGAGGAGTTCGAGAGAGAGAGAGAGAGAGAGAAGGAGAGAGAAAACATAACGAGAGAGAGATGTGTGTGTATATATAGAGAGAGAGAGAGAGAGAGAGAGAGAGAGAGAGAGAGAGGAAGAGAGAGAGAGAGAGAGAACGAAGAAGAGGAGGAGGAGGAGGAGGAGGTTTTAACATGCAAGCGTGCGGGTGACAGGGGAGGAATACCAACCCTGCTGCCTTTGGCTCAAGTGTTTAACGGCCGAAGCTACATAGACCTGCTTTGCCGTTCGGGAGTATAAAGGTGACCTATCGTTATCATTATTGCCAGGCTCCCGTGCAGAACCCTCCTCGGGGTTTTGCATGGTAGCGGAGCGCGGTTGCCATGGCGGCGGCAGCGGCGGCTGCGGCCAGACCTGGGCAGGGCGACCCGCCAGTTAATCTCAATGTGCCGGCAGACAGAGATGCATGGGTCAACATGGACCCGAATCGCTTCAACGATCTGTGCGAGCAAGCATACCTGAACGGAGACTTCAGTTACGTTCAGACGGCGCTACTCGCGAACCATTTCGGACTCGCAACGTTCATTAACGAGCGAGTGACACAGGATCGAAGGGAGGTATCGAACGCCGAAGCATTCCAAATGTTACAGAGTGCCCACAAGACCAACAGCATGCTGTTAGCGATCACAAAGAGAAACGCTGCACTCGAAAGGGATGCTCGCAGATTGGTGGAAAGAGTCACCGAGTTGGAGACCAACAGTGAAGTACAAGAAAAGTTGATCGAAAGGTTTGGCCAGATCTCGGAAGCGATTAAAGGAGGAAGCGGAAGCAAGCACGGGAGCAGTAAACCGATAAGCGAATATAAAGCATTACAGGCGCTAAAGAACTTCAGTGGAGAAAGAGCAAAGTTCAGAGACTGGAACGACAAGTTCTTGAACGCACTAGCACAAGTGAAGCCGAGTTACCGACCGGCACTGAAGATGCTAAACAAGAAGTTGGAGACGCTTGACGGAGTCGTACCAGAGGAAGACGATGACGACATTATACGCGTAATGAACGGCCGATTAACTGCAAGCGAGTACCTGAAGGCGAATCAAGCCAAACAGGCAGAGGACGACAACAAAGGCGAATATGAGTTCACCGAGGGAGACAAAACTCAGATGGAGGAAGACTTATGGTACATTCTGAACGAGAAACTTGAAGGTGCGGAAGCCAGAGGAAAATTAAAGGGACTGATGGATGGAGATGGAATCATGGCTTGGCAGAAGGTTTACAAATGGTACTCGGCGGTAACCGGAGCGACCCTATCATCAAAGATGACGCATGCCATGAATCCTGAGCCGCCCAAGAAGATCACTGACACCGTTACCCGACTTGAGGAATGGAGTGCATTGGCAGAAAACCTTGAGAAATATGGTAAAGATTACTCGCTGCCTCTTCCTTTTAAAGTCGCCGCACTCAGGGCCATAATGGTGCACGCGAACGACTGGTTCGACGAATGGCAGCAGGCATGTTGGCGAACGCCCGATGCGCTTAACATTGACTCATTTCAGAAATTGCATTCAAAGTGCGAAGACTGGGCGCGTAAAAAGAAACTTGACTCAGATACGAAAAATATGGATGCGATGGACATTGGGAACATCAACGAGATGAGTCAAGGGTCCGAAAATGTTTGGGACCAAACAGGATGGGTTGACGAAGACGGAAACTGGTGGTCAGAAGATGGATCGTGGAATTACGGGTCCTGGGCCAATGAGAGTGACGGTGGAGAATATGAAGAAATTGACGCCGTAAAGAAAGGCAAAGGCAAGGGAGCGGGCCCCAGGTGTTACAATTGTGGAGGCATGGGCCATCTAGCCAGAAACTGCACAATACCTAAACAGTTCACCAAAGGAGGTAAAGGTGGCAAGGGCGGAAAAGGCAAAGGTTACCGAGCTACTTGCGGATCCCATGTGAAAGGTAAGATCGGAGGCAAACAGGGTGGTAAAGGAAGTAGCTCGTGGGGTGGAAGTTACGGAGGCCAAGGAAAGTTCACCCCGCACAGCGAGCGTGAGTGTTACATGTGTGGCGCAAAAGGGCATATCGCCATTAACTGCCCGGGCCCCAAGAAGACCGCCAACGAAGTTGAGCAAGAGAAACCTGCAGTGAACACTGAGGGTGAACAAACCACCTCGTTCGGCCAACCGCAGCATGTTCTCAGCGTTGAGATGAAGGAAGCAATGAACGTGCCGCTAGACCAGCCCGCAACCGAGGAGGTTAACGAGAAATGGGATCTGCCCTACTACGCCAGAAAGAAAACGGCACGTAACAACGCGATGAATTTGAGAAGAATTTATCAGGAACACCAGTGTGACGGAGATTGTAATCATACTAGTCAATGGGACCAGAGAATAAGTAAAAGCGTAAGGCAGGAAAAAAGTTGGCTGGAGAAGTGCAAGGAAATTGGGCTAATTGAGATGCGGGGCTGTGATCCAGAGATTAACGCGGTGCCACCACCAAGTGCAACGCATGAGACGATCGTGGTTACCGTGGACTCCGGCGCATGCAATACAGTGGGACCCCCCAAAGTTGGCACTCATTTCCCTATTAAACATACAGACGCGTCAAAGCAGGGACGACACTACAGTGCAGCAAATGGGACCACGATAAAGAATTATGGTCAACGAGGGATCACAGGTAAAAATGAGCATGGGAACGGCGTCAGTATGCCGATCCAGGTAGCAGAAGTCAACAAGGTCCTGGGATCTGTCAGAGAGATGGTAAACGCTGGAAATAGTTGTGTTCGACAAGGATCTTAACGGGAGATACCTGAGCCACATCATGAACAAGACGACCGGTAAGTCCACGACCATTCATGAGAAGAATGGCACGTTCCAGTTCAACATCACGGTACCGAAGGGACCAGCGGAGGCCGTCAATCCCAGGAGTGAAGTGAGCGCAGCTGAGGGTTTTCCGCGGCCGGGAACCCTGGAGGCGGATCTATTCTACTAAGCCCCCCATCACCCGTAAGACCAAGCGAAAACTTAAACGTCTTTAATACCGAAAGAGACGAAGGGAGTGAAAGTGGGGGCAACGAGAGTGAGTTAAGTGATGTGGAAGATGTATTTGTGAGTGATGAAGCGGAGTTACCAAAGAAAGTTTATTGTGATATGAGGCCCTCAAAGGAGGAAGTTGAAGCGCATAACACGACGCATTTACCTTACCGAAGCTGGTGCCCACATTGCGTTAGAGGGAAAGCGCGCAGGCGCAATCACCGTAGACGCAAAAGAGAGGGGAACGGAAACGTGCCAGTGATTTCAATGGACGACATGTGGCTTAAAGGAAGAAAGGATGAAGGTGAAAGCACCAGCAGTGGCAATCCACTTTTAGTCATGCATTGCAGGGGGACCAAATTAACTTGGAGCAGAGTGTTGATGAAAAAGGGAGTGGACTCGTACTCGGTGAAGGTGGGATGTGACATGATAAGTTTTCCCGGATACAAGAGGGTGATACTCAAAAGTGATGGGGAAGCGGCAATCACGGCACTGGCTAATAGGATTAAAGCTTCGTGTGATCTTGACATGGGGGTTGAAGTTAGCCCAGTAGGCGACTCAAAGGCCAGCGGTGAAATCGAGAGAGCCGTTAGGACAGTGCAGGGTCAGGTCAGAACGTTAAAGAGCGCCTTGGATGCCAATTCTAAGACTGAGTTTGGTGAAAGTCATCAGATAATACCTTGGTTGGTGAGTTACGCGTCCTCTTTGATTAACAAGTTCACAATAGACACGGATGGGAAGACGGCCCATGAGAGGTGCAGGGGAAGAACGTTTAACAAGCAAATTCCTGAGTTTGGTGAGTGTGTCATGTATTTGAAGGCACCTGCACGCAAAGGCCGCGAGAAGCTCGAAATGAGATGGGAAAGTGGAGTGTTTCTAGGCATAAACGAGAAAAGTCAAGAGCTGATTATTGGGACGCCAAATGGTGCAATCAAGGCGCACGAGTTTAAAAGAAAAGGAAGTGATGCGGAAAGATGGAATATTGCAGAGATCACCGAAATAAAAGGGTTACCTTGGCAGCCTGACCCGAGTGCGGCGGGAATGGAATTACAGTCTAGGATCATGGTACCCATGGACCTACCAGAGCAAGAGTTAACTGCGCCTGAGACGAAGCCGCTCATTGCACGAGGGATTGCAGTTAAAAAGCACGAATACTTGAAAATGGGACCGACACCGGGGTGTTACGGATGTAAATGCCTCGTGAGAGGAGACAAAGAGCACAAACCGCATAACGCTGATTGCAGGGCTCGAGTTATTGAATGGTTAAAGAAACAAGAGAGTCCGAACATCCAGGCAAGGCTAGCATCTGCACAACTAAGACTTGAGAGTAAAAGTCGTGTACCAGAAAATCGTGAACAAGAATCAGAAAGTCAAGCGAAGAAACTGAGGGTCAATGTACCACCTCCGCCGAGCGCCAAAGTTGAGGAA